ACAAATTTACTCTATGTGTCATCAAAACTTGTTTCTCTTGACCATTGTTTTGTTTTTGTTTCTATTTTACCTTTTAGTACAGCATTTTGGCTTTGTGGCTGCTTAAACTTCTCTAATAAATAAAGTTGGTATGGTATGGTATAGTTAATAATTTAATAGTATTTTAGAGCTCCATTTAGCAGTGATCAATAAATCCTTATTCAGCAAAAGGATAATTTCTTTAAATCATATGTGCTCATGAAACCACCTGCTGGCTGAGTGCACAGCACATGTATAATAAAGTATTTTTAAACATGTGTGCGTCCATCTTATATGGCAGCCTACAATCATTCTGGACATTTTATGAGGTTAAAATCAACACTTTAGTGATGATCAGCTCTACAGATTGTTCATGATAGAAGCACCAGAGGAAGAATGTACCATTTGTCTATCAGCCAAATAACAGGGAGCATTGAGCTACAGAAATGTACCTACGGAGGTTATGATCTTCTGACCATCCAAATCAACAAAGGCCTAGTATTCCATGTGTGATTAAAGTGAAAAAATATTTCTCTACCTACCCCAGCATATCATTTAACAGTGAGACAATAAATATAATTAAACAGTAGTAATTTAAAAAGCCCAGTTTAACAGGTAAACAATACGTTTTTAATAGTACAATGCACCATAATTCTCAATGGAGAAATAAATGGTAGCAAATACAATAACCGACAACAATCATTCTATGTTGAGCTAAATCTATAAAGATTAATAGATAACGCAATGTTTGTTAGTATAAAATGATATATATCCCTCTTCAGTCATGCTATGGTGTTGTGAGAAAATGATCCTTGCAGCAGAGCCCCAAGTGCTTACCTGAATAATTACACCCCACAAGCATTTTTTTACACTTCAAGGAGCAATATTTACAGCTCCACAAGACCATCAAATTCTGTGACTCAGATTGGCCAAATATTTCTTATTTGCCCCAACAATAGATGACTGGCTATTAAACAGACCAGTCAGTGAAGCTTCTAGGAGAAGAATGAAATCACAAAAATATAATTACTTATGTTGCCTGTACATCTGGAAATTTAAAATGAATGGTCAACAAGGTACATGCAGAGCTCTATATTGGGTTAATAATGCAACCTCATCACTAATTGGGTTGCTCAACACAAAACAGAAGCTTGGCTCAGCACAAGAACAATATGGACCAAATCTTAGTCCATAGTTCTTGCCTAGAAAAAGAGGGCATGCCATAATCAGGTTAGACGAGAGTTCCTGCATAAAGTGGATTTCAAGTATCTTAAGGTGCTTTGCCCACGGAATGGGAGAAATGAGCTGGAGATCCAAAGACAGATTAGTGCAGATGCCATAATGTGGACCATACACGGGTCTGTTGTGTTTAAAATTGAGCTAAGTCAAAAGGTCAACCTCTCGATCAATTGGTCAGGCTGTTTCTATCCTTATATTGGGTCATGAAATCTGGATGATGACCGAAAGAATGAGATCACGTTGCTGAAATGAGTTTTCTCACTGAGGAGGCCAGGCACCCTTTTAGAGATATGGCAAGAAGCTTGAGACATCAGGTAGAGGTAGAGCCTGTCACACCATAAGCCATGATATCAAATTTGGATATTTTAGACCAATGTCCAGAATGGTTTTCTTCTAACATTGTTGGAGGAAATGTTTACTCTTCCCTCCAAGCTGCTCCAAAAGCCTGTCTTACATTAACCTTGCAATACATTCCCACAAGGGCATGGAATCCTGCCCCACGTGGTGCTTCAGGGAAAAAGCCACCTAAGTTGGCCACTTGTTAATCTCTGAAACTGATTCCGCCACATACAAAAAAAAGGTATTGTATAATCAGCTGCTTCTCCTCTGCATTGAGACGTGTCATCTGAGGTGGATTTACACATTGGAATTTGTTGTGGATATTCCTGCGATGCTTCCCTTGGGAGGTATCCTAGGCATATCTTACCTGGAGGAGGTTGGTGGCTATATATTGCTTGGCTGACCTTCTCTGACCTTAAGCTTTCCACAGAGGAGAATAAGTAGGTGCCTGTGGAGAGGGGAGTCTGGGCATCTCTGTTGTAACTACCGTTGAGCATGCAGGTATTGGAAGCGTCCCTGCTGCAGCCCCTTGCATGGTCTGGGTTACACTCCTGTTGGAATTGGGGCAATTAGGTTGGCGGGGAGCATCTTTTAAATCTCATGCAGTAGGAGCTCAACCAGTGGAGATGATTAAGTAATCTTTTGCTTAGACAAGTAGCATGCCAGAGTAATACATCTGGATTTCCAAATTTATTTGGAGTAATACATTTGTGTTTTCCAAGCACAATGTTTCCTCTGTTTATTAGAAGACACAATTACACAAAGAATATTTTTAAAGTGTTATTCTTTGGATTTATTGTTTACTTAGTTTTAATAAGAGCTATTATTGATGTACTTTGATAACGAGGCCCAGCATTGATACCCTCCCCATAGACCTTTTGAAACCACATTTCTCAGCCATAACATAACCACTGAGAGAGTGGACTGAATGGATCTTGTATAGAAGAAGAAGATGTGGTTATTTCCTCCCTCACAGCTGAACAGAGGAGCCAGATTTAGGACACAACATCTGTTAGTTGTCTTCTCAACTCTTTGAAGCAGTGAAAAAGCTCTAGCAGGTAGAGACAAATCATGTCACCAACTAAACATTTAAACTTGGTCTGAAAAATGTAAAATCTTCTAAAACCTAATTTTTAAATAAAAAATCTTAATGATTTGGTCTCAGTTGTTAACCTTCAGATTTATTCTATCTCTGTTAGTTAACTGTTAACTAGTGGTATAAGAGCATGAAGGAGATTTTCTCTATGATATTCTTAGAACAAGTTGGTTCCAATCTGCTTTGCATCATCTGATTAAAGAGGATAAGAACCTGCTGACCACCTGCAGTAAAAGAGTATGGAGTAAATATTGAGTGGTTCTGCTCTGATGTGTTTTTTAGATAATGTTGGCAAAGCAGTCGCCAAAGGTATGAGCAAAATGTCACATAACGACTAACCACCTCATCATAGCAGGTGTATGACAGTTCAAACAAATTCTTTGTATGCTTTTCAAGAATTTGTTTCTTTTTCAAGCAGAGCTGATCAGACCTGTTCTCTGCATTCTTCAACACAGCACAGGCTTGTTTTGTGCTCCACAATGGATTAGAATCAGCCAGAAAGAGTTAAGACTGAATCCATCCTGAGAACAGAAAAAAAGGCAGCTTTAGACCTAATAGCACAGGATCTATTCTATTCAGGTTATCTTCACACACAAACAGTAAGCTTGTCAGCAGGTACCAAAGTTTTACATCAAGATTTCTTATTTAGAACCCTGGCATCAGATTACAGATCTGCTGCAGGTAGATGTAGAAACACTTCTGGGATGTTTAAAAATTTGGTTACAGCAAAGTGGAATCAGAAAACAAAACCTTCAGGCTTCATTCCTCACCTTTTATAACTCAGGAACAGGCATTTCAGGCCAGGGATGGGTGACTGCTTTCTTTTTAAATTATTTCCTCATTCACATTGAGGGGAAGTCATGCTAACAGGTACTGGGTAGAGCATAAGAAAGTCCACACAAGGCTTAGTGTGGTTAAATTCAGACATACAAAGGTGTTGGTTCTGTTTTTAAACAAATAATAATCAAATGTCCAGATCAGTAAAGTACAGGTTTGTAGGTGCAGACAGAATCAGACATGTTAAAACCTGTTAGGATTCCCACCAAAAAGGAAGAAGAACCGGGAGCTTAAATAAAACAAGTCCTGCTACGTTTACTTTCTGGTTCTGATCAGTTAGAGAAACACTGGTTTATAATTTTGGATCATTGAAGATTAGAAAAATAGTTTATTGAACTCAGAACTTTAAGGAAGAGCAGAGACAGTGTTTATGGTCCAGTAAGAAGCCTGGTAGTTTCCCAGGAGCTGGCTGTCAGCCCAAAGGGAGACGTTAGTCTGATGAAAGACAGAATGTTCTACATATCCAATGTATGAGAATGATTTTGATCATTACCAAAGAATGAGGAAGGCTTCAGGGGAAACAGATTGTTTTTCTGACAGATGGAAGCTGTCTTTTCTCGAGAAAGGTTCCTAAAACTGTTCCACTTACAGCAAACTGAAGCTTGAAAAGGGAAACATTAAGAGAAAGATCTATCAAAGTGAGATGTAGCTGAGATTGTTAAGGCCAAATAACTGAAATATATTTGATTTTGAATACTTCACTCTCATTACACTCCTTAGCTGTGAAGGACATAAGATCTGTTTGCCTCTGGGTTTTAATTATCTCTATTGTGAACTTTGCTATCTCTTTCAAAATAACACCTTAGTAATCCGACTAGAGGAATGAGTATTTTCAGTTTTTGTTTTTGCTAAAGTTGTACAGCTGACAGCTGATTAAATCCTCACACATTCCTCAAGTTGCAGACATAGCTCACTTAATTAACAGCAGCTTTTGTTAATGTTCTCTGTTCTGCCTGAAGGCATTTGCACTGTGTTTACAGCAGATATGATTAGAAAAGTATCTGCACAAACCTCTAGGAACCAAAAACATGCAAACTTTGTGGAACAGCTCGATTCTGCACCAAAACCTGTAGAGATTATTGCTGACCAAGAATAAGGAAGATCTGATGTTGGCTGATGAAACCAGGAACATTATTAAGTATTTGTGCTGTAGACACAGTTTGCTTTCAGTGTTTGCATGTGAAAATTACACAGGTTAATGTTAACCTCAACAAGAGAGGTATTTAACGAAAAGAAGAAAGAAAAAAATCTCAAAGGCTTTATAACATTTGTTTTAGTAGATCTAACTTCTTCTCTGTTATTTCAGTCATGTGAAATCCTTCAGGAAATACAAATCCCACAGAAAGTCCCCTACTACAGCCTGGACCATCATCAGGTCCTGCTGGTTCTGTTCAGTTGATTAGTAAAACATGTAGTTATTTTCAGGCTGCTTCTCTTCTACATGTGCTTTAAAAAAAAGTAAACACCAAAAGAGTTTAGAAAAGGAGCAACGTTTTAATCAGAATAATAAGAAAACTCTTACAAACAGAAGTTATAAAATAAATACAACTCTGACAAAACATACAAGTTTATATAACGAATTGTTAGGTTTATTCTTTATACATCATGTGCATTGTTATTCTGTTAGCCAGATTAGACAGAGTAAAAGGCCTTCCTTCACATTGTGGATGTCACTGTGAGGTCATCTAATCAGGACAGCCTTTGTGTCTTTAAAAATATACAGGATATGGGCACATCTTGGAGCCGGACTGATAGAGGAGATATATCTGTAATCCTTGGGCATAGAGGCAAGATGCATATATGTCAGGGCATTGATGGTGTGTCAGTTTCTGATACGGACATCAAAGCATCCACCTGATGCAACACATAGACGCATGAGGTAGAAGAAGCAGGAGATGACCGTGTTCGGGCTCAATCTTTGCCGGACGCTCGCTGACATTTTTTGAGCCCAACTTCCTCATTTAACAGAATATAAAAATGCCATACAATCAGTTTACAGCTAAACGTAGGAGGTATGGGTTTTTCCAAGTGCCTCAGTATTTTATAGCTTCAGTAATAGTTTTAAGCTACATTGCTACATTTATCAACATATTTATCTGGGCGTTTTAAATGGGATATGGTATTAGAGTTTTTTACTACGAAAAAATCCACTTCTTTGAGACTAACATAGCGGCTATAGCAATCATTGAAGCAACAACCATCAGTCCGATGTGTCCTCTACCTGTAGAACAGAACCAGGAGTTAACGTAACATCAATGATCAACATTATTTTCAGCTCTCAGACCAGCTGATGATACATCTTTAAAAAAACATCAACATCTGATCTTAGATGTTTCAACAATGAAGAACCAGGAAGTTGCTGGAGAAGCTGGTACAGAGACAAACACACTCACTTGACAGAGGGGGAGGAAGAACATCCAGGTAGATAATGCTGATTGGTTGAAGAATTTTTCTCTTCTTGCGGTTTCTTTCTTTCAGAACATAACACTCATATGTTCCACTGTCCTCAGCCTTCACGTTCCTCAGAATCAGAGAAAGGTTTCCAATATTTATGTCCCCAAGTTCTACCCGACCTGCGTAGCATTGCTTTAGGACACTAATACCTGAGGTCTGATTTCTGTAAATGAGGACAAATTCAGTGTTTGTTCCTGGTTTGCTCCACTCCAGGATATCAAAAGGCAGGTGCCCCTTTGCCTCACATGGCAGAGTGACATTCTTCCCAATTACAGTGGAGATGTTCTTCCCTACAGACGAGACACAACACAGAGCAGAGCAGATTAACAGAGATGGAGATGCGTCTTCCTCATTCTGGATACTAACTTCAGCTATCTCTGTTTGCAGAAGCACATTACAAAACTTTTTAGCGCATCCATCTAAAAGTCATACCAGCTAATTACATGATGAATGGCTTTGCCAGGTGGAACATGAAACCCACACCTCATGGGGGGTGTGGGAGCGTCCATTTTGAGAAAGCATTACCACAACTCTCAGTATAAACCCAAGATGTAAATTTAGTACCAAGTTAAAAAAGAACTGCAGAAAGATAAACAAATCAAGCACACTCATCAAAAGCAGCATTTCACCAACAATATACTCACATCACGCTTTAAAGGTAGGAAAGAAAAGAACTAGAAGTATAAGACATATATAGAACAACCCAATCGGTAAACTTTCCTTTGAATACCAGCTATTTATACACATTCAAAATAGCAAAACATGCATCTACCTGAATCAAAGACATTTTTTTGCCAGTAATGTGCTAATTGTTCTATTTCTAGTATTATCATTATTAATATTGTTGTGTGTTGGAGTTTATTCTTCTGTTATTAAAAAATGACAAAAATGAAAGGATTATATTTTTCTGTTTTTGATACAAATTTAATTTTAAAAATCAAACTAAAATAGGAAAAATAACAGGTCGCAAAGGCACATTAGTGCTGCAACTTTAAATATTTTCTTTTCTTTTCTGTTTTTTAAGCTAAAACCTAGAGTGTTTTCAGATGTGATTCAGAGCAAAGAAAAAAGTATCAATATCAAAGCAAAATGCATTTATAAAACCCACCTGCTGAAGTGGTCGATAATACCATCAGACAGAGACTCAGAAATATGATGAAAGACTCCATGTCTTTGATGTTCGACACATAATCATTTATGCCACAGACCTGAGCGTGCAAACACCAATCTGAGCACGCAGTGAGACAAGTTTGTTTAAAGCAGAGAAACTAGGTGTGTTTAAGTGCAAGAGAACTGGCAGCTGTTCTGTTGGGCGGGGATAAGAGAAGGAGCAGAATTGGAGCTGCCTGTTGTTTTGAACATGTACAGCCTCACATTTAATATTATCCTTACTTTATTTACATTTCAGAATGTGTGTGTTTTTGTGATCTATCTATCTATCTATCTATCTGTCTGTCTGTCTGTCTGTCTGTCTGTCTGTCTGTCTGTCTGTCTGTCTGTCTGTCTGTCTGTCTGTCTGTCTGTCTGTCTGTCTATCTATCTATCTATCTATCTATCTATCTATCTATCTATCTATCTATCTGTTCATTGGGTGAAACCTCAAACTGTTTCAATTAAATATGAATAACTGCTTTTTTATTTTTATTTTTTTACAGTCTCCTGTCATGTAGCAGTACAAGTGTAGCAGTATGGCAATTGCCATATTGCTCCACTTGTTTCATGCATAAAAATTGCTTTATTATAATTATGCAGGTCGTTTAACAGTTTATATGGACACTACAATGTAAATAGAGCAGAAAAACAGAAGAAGGAAAAGGAAAAAAGAGAAGAAAAAAGAGAAAAGATGAAAGAAAGAAGAGATAGAAAAGAGATAATGACAAAACATTTTCTGTCTGCTTCATCACCTGTGACGAGATGAAAAAAGAACAGCACAACCAAAAGACACGGTACGAGACATACAATAAAGCAACACCTTGAAACTATCGCTAAAGTAATATTATTAAGTCTGACATGTACTCTGTGTTACCTGAAGATATGAATGTGGGGTTTCTGTTTGGAAGTGAATCTCTAAGTACCTGAAGCCTAGCACCTGTAGTTGTTTGTGAGGGTGCACTTGAATAACTGCTTTTATTATGAATACTAATAAATAACACAGATAAAACACAAAACTTTGACAACAATAGACAGTATTAATTTTGATAGCAATTATTTAACTAACAATGACATTAGTAAGTCTATAAAAATAAATAAACAGCTAATATCCCTGCAAAAATTAACTATGATCTAATATTGAAAAATTAACATATATGATAAGAATAGAGCAATTTATAAGATGATTACTTCAATCCATATCACAATATTCAATACAATATATTATATTGAAGACTGTGATACAAAATAATCAGAGTATATATGAAAGTTTTTGTAATATAGCTAAATGGAGATGACATAAAAGCAGGTGAGTATTTCAAAAGTGAAATATCATTAAGCTTAACACGTCATCTCTGACGAATGCTTGAGCTGAAACTGAGCTTGCTTGGAAGAATAGTGTCAGGAATCCTGTCTGTGTGTTTGTGTTTCTGTGTTTGTCTCCCTTCATCCTCCTGACACACCTGCTGATGGTTTCCTCATTAACAGAGCGTTCTTAAGCTGCTGACTGCCACTACCTCGACGCCAAAATGTTTGCCAGTTTTGGGTACTCTAGCCAAGCTGAGTTTTGCTGAGTCAAACTGAGTTTTTGTCAACATGAGTTTAACTTTTTTTTGTCTGTTCGGTTTTCTGCATTTGGGTCTGAACTTTGTAAAATCATGAAAAAAGCAGGTATTGAAACATCATCAAAACACTGAACGAAAGTCCAGTTGCCTTCTAATTTAAGCCTGTTTGTGAAATGCATTAGATAGACTACAGACATGTATTAAAGATATAAAAACCTAGATGACACTAAACTTTCTGCTCCTGAATGCATACAAAACTGTCCAAAATCTGTCCTTTGTTATGGAGCTGCAAGCGTCCAGCTGAATCTTGCCCAGAGCTGCTGGCTCTCCTATGCTGTGCCATACATTTATGATGTTGTTGTTTGGTTTCTCCACTATAGGAGGCTGTAGAGTCCTCACTTCACTGGATCACATACACAATGCCACACAGGTTAGGTTTGGGTGTTCTCTCTTTAGGATGAACCAGTTTTTGTCTGAGTGTTTAGTTAGTTATGAAATTCACTGGTATGTTGTGGTTCAAGAAAATCCTTCTGGGTTTTTTTTATTGTAGCGTAATACAATGTTAATCCTATCAATGACTTATCGACACAGCATATTCTATTGATTTATTATGATAAAAAAACAGACAAAAAAACGATAATTTATTGTTTTTTTTTTTTAAGAATTTATAATATTTTCCACTCGTTTGATTGCAGGAATGCATTCTATTTAGCCTGTTACTGGGATGACAAAGCAGACTATTCTGACTTTCAAAATCTAAGTACTAAACATTTATACATTAATGAAATTTTCCCTCTGTCTGTTGACGAAGGAACTATGATGGGAAAAATATTTTACTCTGTGTTCCTGTTAGGCCCCTAGCTATTATCTGTGATTGTAAGCTTGTTTTGTTTCCTTAAAGCACAAATTGATTTGCTCAGGCATTCTCACACCTGCAGGGCTACAGAGGGGCTGTTTAGCACTATTAGGCACTGATTGGAACAGAGGCCAAACTCCCTCAGACTCAGTGTTTGTTCAACAGTTTTCTTAACTGTAATTTTGAGTATCTTTATATGAAGAACTTCACAGTTCATTGCAGACTTTAAGTTACTTAGGAAAACCCTATCTAGATCAGAACAGACAACAGCGTCCAACATGCCTATTGATTGTCAATGGTCTGTAAATTGCGTTGAGATGACAACTGGCTATTGGCTCTTCGGCAACCGTTCTAATAATTATTTTCACTCCTCTGTCATAATTGCGAGCAGCCTCTGGTCATGGCCAGTTGAAATTGACCATGGCCATATGTTGAAATTATAGTCTTACCACTTCTGGATTATGGCCCCGACAGTGCTCACTATGACATTCAGAAGTTTAGAAATCCTTCTGTAACCAATGCCATCATTGTGATTTGCAACAATAAGGTTGCAAAAGTCTTGAGAAAAATCTTAATATTAACCCTTCATGAGATGTTTCTTATGTGATACCAGAGACAGCTTTTTATAGGCCATCTTCTGGGACTGAACCAGCTAATATTAATTTACACTGATAAGTGGCAGGATTGCTTTCTAATTACTGAGAGATTTTCGGCTTCTATGCCTTTTTGCCTCTCCCTTTCTTCAGCTGTTCAATACTTTTTTCCTGTGACCTGTTAAATACTTATTTCACCTGCTGTATGTCTCAGAACAAAGCTCCGAAACATTTTGATCTTTGGCATTTATCCCAGAGTGTTTATTTTTCACAGTCATAGACAATCTACTGAGTCGACCCCCAACCCTTAGGACTCCATTTTGCAGTTGTGGACAGAGCTTGTGCAGATTGCTAGATACTTGAATTGGTCATCTTTTATTCAAACTGGAAATAGGACATGGAAGCCTTGACCAAATGTTTTTTCCAAGTCGACTACAGCCTAAGAAAAGTGCTGTCAAAGGGTATTATCTATCAATGCCTTAATGCTATGACACTTTACCAACATACTTCAAATTTACCTCATGAAATAATTGCTCCTGATAAACCACCAGTCACTCGTTCCGGAGTAGACTACTTCAGACCTTTTTAGAAAAAAAGCAGAAGAAGCATGACGAAAATATGTTATTTTTTGCATGGCCATTAGAGTAGGTCACTCTTTCAATAATCCATTTAGATGCTTTGTTGTAAGAAGAAGTCAAGTCGAACACCTTGATTCTGATAATTGTACCGACCAGTGGCCAAGTGGGTATGCACTGGATGCAGCTCATAAACTGGGAGGGTGGACGCAGCACCTCAGCAGTATATCTGTGTCAGTTGTCCTGTCTTGGCTTCACAGTGAGAATAGTTTTTTCCGATTTCACCATAAATTTGAGGATTATTAAAGTGTGGATATTTTCCCTGTCCTCACAAGCTATTTGCTAATCATTAGGTTTAGGGCTCAGTTTTGAAGTTAAGTTTAGTTTTAGTTTAGTGTTAGGTATGGAACTATAACCCATCAGCTCTGTTTCACCATGGCCAATCAGGGGAACGGTTTAAAGAGCTATCTGCAAGGTACTTAATTCCACTTGCATATAGTTCTTTGTGAGGAGGAAGTCATCATTAGCAGCCAACCAATCACAAAGTCCTCAGTGGATATGAATGACTTGGAAGCACTTCTAATCACCAGCTATCATTTAAAAGCTGTCCATCTTTACCACAAGCCTACCAAAAATAGAAAGTTTGTTGGAAAGTTTCTGTCAGTTGGATAGAGTTTGGATATATTCTAAGAACAGATTTGTTGAAAAAACAACCAACTAAATTGGTTATATTAAACAATGTAATGGGACTTATTTGTATTGGTTTGCCCTAGTACAAGTACAAACACTGCCAAAGTTAGATTGGTTGGTTTGACCAAAAGATTGAACACATAACTTCCAACCTGATTAAACCCAAAAACTCTGGAAAAACTATTATGTTTAAATCAAATGAAACACCTTTCCTTTTGTTCATCGTTACCCAATTTGCACAACCACTTTCACTGTCTGCTTCAGTTTATTTCACTAAAGTGGCAGAAAAACAGTGATTTTTCTCTTCTAAGACATTTCACACAAAAAAACTTACTAATTATTTTATTATACAGACAAATCATCAACAGTTTCAAAGGAACTTAGATGAAAAAAATAAACAAGAAAAACAATTGCAAAAAAATCAGATTCTATTACCAACTGTAGTTCTGCACTCCACCAGAAGGTGGTGACATGTTCACATGAGGATTCATGAACCGTAGGGACCATTGAAACAAATAGCCAAATTGATTAAATGCCTCATGAGGCTTCATCTGACCATCAGTAATATGGCTGATAGTTTATTTACTCCAGCTGAAGGAGCACCAGAAATTGACAAGAGAAAAGAGGGAAATCAATGTAAGAGACCTTGTCATCATTATGGACAGCACAGAACCTTGAAACTAATGGAGGTAATGGAGGCTGAGGATGATTAATCAGAATCAGATCAGAATCAGACATACTTTAATACAGAGGCATAGCCAGAAAATTTTTATAAGGGAGGCCAGGCAACAACCAATGTACACTGAGGGGTGGCTGAAAGTGGATAGGCGCCAGAACCTCTGGGTCAATCTAAACTTTCCAACAGGAAATGAATGAGCACAACATCCATATTTTCTAAATAAAGACAAAATATACTTTCCTACAGCCCTTGCTAAAAAAAAAGGCACATATATTTAAACATCTTCCTAGATAAAATGTATAGTGGACACAATTCTTTCAGGTTTGAGTTCTGGACGAACATCTTTTTTCCATTGTCATTTGTTACTTTTATCAATAATCATTGTGAAAAAATATATATATTTACAAGTACTAATATCTACATAAATTGATGATTTAATACCTTTTTAATAATATAGTTATTTATGATTTCACTAAATCTCATATATGACTTGCAGAGAGAAATCATTTTCTCTTTACCCAATATAACACAAAATGTAGTTCTGAAAAAGCATGAATTCTGTACTTATCATCTTTAATGTCATGACACTGATGTGCATAATTAACCACAGCGATTCTGTTGTTAAGAAAATGTTAATATAGGAAAATTAAAATGTTTTGAATATTCCACTTGAGAGTATTACTGTTGCCACCATCTGTATTATAGGGAAAAATGGTAAGGGAGGCCACAGGGGTGGCCAATGATTTGTTAAGGGGGGCCCCCATCTGGCTCCGCCCCTGCTTTAATAATCCCAGAGGGAAATTACTTATATTAAGGACAAACTAGACTCGGCAGCGAAGGATTCTGTGGACTGTGTGGATTCTTGCAGTGCTCTGTTTATGGATTACTTTCCTATTTAGACTATGATTTTACCCATATTTTATCTGTGGACTTCTTTTGATTATTATTACTGTGCTGCTGATAGACATTATCAGGTTTTGAAAGTGTGGGTATTACTGTTGTCTCCTATTTATCTCCTTGATGCCCATTGTTGCAATGCTTTGTATTATTTATAGTTAAGACAACATGTGCTGCCAGCTATTCCTCATTCAGTGCTGGCGTAGGAAGCTTTGGCAAGCTCTTGTTTCTGTTACAACTGTCATTTAACCCTGAATGTTGAACTTTATTGCAATATGAAATAAAATTCCAAGTGGAGCTGAACAAATAGCTCTCTCTGGTGGGCAATATGAAAAACGCAGCATAATTGAATTTTTTATTTTTATTTTTTTGTGCTAGAATCTTATTACCATTACTGTCACATGAGTCATTCTAATAGCTTTCTGGTAAATGAAAATGTTAACTTTTATTTTCCTATAAAAAAGTTAAATTGTTTAAATTTGAAAAAGACCTTAAACAATTTAAAGGGGCTTGCTTAAATATTTTATGAACTAAATGCTTACATTTGATCCTTTTTTTTAGGTTTAAGACATATTTATGATACACTATATTGCCAAAAGTATTTGCTCACCTGCCTTGACTCACATATGAGCTTAAGTGACATCCCGTTCCTAATCCATAGGGTTCAATATGACGTCGGTCCACCCTTTGCAGCTAGAACAGCTTCAACTCTTCTGGGAAGGCTGTCCACAAGGTTTAGGAGTGTGTTTATGGGAATTTTGGACCATTCTTCCAGAAGCGCATTTGTGAGGTCGCACACTGATGTTGGACGAGAAGGCCTGGCTCTCAGTCTCCGCTCTAATTCATCCCAAAGGTGTTCTATCGGGTTGAGGTCAGGACTCTGTGCAGGCCAGTCAAGTTCATCCACACCAGACTCTGTCATCCATGTCTTTATGGACCTTGCTTTGTGCACTGGTGCACAGTCATGTTGGAAGAGGAAGGGGCCAGCTCCAAACTGTTCCCACAAAGTTGGGAGCATGGAATTGTCCAAAATGTCTTGGTATGCTGAAGCATTCAGAGTTCCTTTCACTGGAACTAAGGGGCCAAGCCCAGCTCCTGAAAAACAACCCCACACCATAATCCCCCCTCCACCAAACTTTACACTTGGCACAATGCAGTCAGACAAGTACCGTTCTCCTGGCAACCGCCAAACCCAGACCCGTCCATCAGATTGCCAGATGGAGAAGCGCGATTCGTCACTCCAGAGAACGCGTCTCCACTGCTCTAGAGTCCAGTGGCGGCGTGCTTTACACCACCGCATCCGACGCTTTGCATTGCACTTGGTGATGTATGGCTTGGATGCAGCTGCTCGACCATGGAAACCCATTCCATGAAGCTCTCTGCGCACTGTTCTTGAGCTAATCTGAAGGCCACATGAAGTTTGGAGGTCTGTAGTGATTGACTCTGCAGAAAGTTGGCGACCTCTTCGCACTATGCGCTTCAGCATCCGCTGACCCCGCTCCGTCAGTTTACGTGGCCTACCACTTCGTGGCTGAGTTGCTGTCGTTCCCAAACACTTCCATTTTCTTATAATACAGCTGACAGTTGACTGTGGAATATTTAGGAGCGAGGAAATTTCACGACTGGATTTGTTGCACAGGTGGCATCCTATCACAGTTCCACGCTGGAATTCACTGAGCTCCTGAGAGCGACCCATTCTTTCACAAATGTTTGTAAAAACAGTCTGCATGCCTAGGTGCTTGAATTTATACACCTGTGGCCATGGAAGTGATTGGAACACCTGATTCCAATAATTTGGATGGGTGAGCAAATACTTTTGGCAATATAGTGTACCTTTAACATTTTTATTATAAATTAATTTCTGCTGCCTCAAAAATGCAGTAGAACCTCAGAGGAAGAAGGCGGGTATTACTTGGTCTGTTTCATGTTAAGTGAAAAAGAGGTTCATACTGTGAGAGCCACAATGAAGGAAACATCTCTCAGATTACTCCTCTGTAAGTACAACCTTTTTTTAAATGTACCATTTTTATTTTAATGAAGCTGTAAGTCATTCTGGAATAAGGTGCAATTTAACCTGGCCTATATTCCATCCCTCAAATGAAACATACCAGGTTAGATCTGAAAACTAAAGACTGTTAAAAATATTGCTAAGATACAACACTAAAACAGAACCCCTAAGATTTTACACGATTAGCAAAGCTAAAATGTTATGTTTTTTTCTTACGATTGCCTCAAAATTTAATATCTTTGCTTTTAATAGAACCCCGTTTCATCATTATTCAAACCATAAGCTTAAGCCATACGTGAAAATTGGACTTGTGAGACTAGACAGATGGACCCAGTATTCAAGTAGTGTCATTTATGATTAAATTTATATAACACTGTGCAAGAATCTGCCTTCTCTCCATTCTTGTCCTTCTCTGTGCACATAAGAGAGGCTCCCTCACTGCCTGCTTTTAAACTTTGCTTTTGGTTTTTAACATAGGTTATACGTTTTTGACCTACTTTGTTTTTAAATGGTTCTTATCACCACACTTTGATTTTATTTATATTCTTATTGTCATGTTGTTTTAGGTTCAGACGTGTCAAGTAACAAAGTACAAATACTTTGTTACTGTACTTAAGTACACTTTTTAGGTATCTAAACTTTACTACATTACTTATTTTTCTTCCTACTTCTGACTTCTACTCATTACATTTTCACACAAATATCGGTACTTTCTATTCCTTACATTTTTAAAACAAACGTTACTAGTTACTCAGAGGTCACGGATTAGCAGACCGTGGTCATTGGCGTCAGCAGACCCTTATCACAGGAGCACGTGCCCTGTTGTGGATCTGCGTTGCCTGGGGCACTGATTTTTTGATTAGTTAATTTTCCACTTTCACAGCTCATCTCTCACAGCTCCACCACAGCTCTGGTGCGCCCCGAGCTGACAGGAAGTGTATTTGCTCACCACCTCCCGCCAAAGTGCAGACGTTTTGTGGGTGATTGACAGGTCAAGTGGTGGGAGTTGGAGACGCATTGGAGAGAGAGAGACAGAGAAATTGTGCAAGAAACATCCTTTTCCAGGACCTGGTTTAGCAAGAAAGCTTGGTTAGCAGCATGTAGCTTTATTCTGCTTTCCCTGCTTCCTTTTTACAGGGGCAGAGCTAGAGTGGGGGCCAGAGGTGGCCATGACCACCCTTAACCTATCATTGGCCACGCCTGTGGCCACCCCTACCATATTTTTCCCCATTATACTGACAGTGGCAGCAGTAATACTCTCAATATTCAAAACATTTAAATTTTTCATAGATTAACAATTACTTGACAACAATAACACTGTGATTAATTATGCACATCAATATAGTAACATTAAAGATGATTAGTATAGAATTCATGCTCTTTTCAGAACTAGATTTTGTGTTATATGGGGTAGAGAGAAAATGCAAGTCAGTCTTCAGTTAAATCATAGATTAAAAAAACTATTATAATAAAAACTTAGTAACTAAACACTTTTTGTAGATATCAGTGCATGTACTAACAATTTTATGCAGAATGTTTATTGATAAAAGTAGGTAAGTAATGAGAATGGAAAAGATGTTCAGCCTAGAACTCAAAACTGAAAGAACTTTATCCACTATACCTTTTATGTACATGGCAATTTAAGTATATGTAACTATTTGTTAGCAAAGGCTGTAGGAATGTATAGTTTTTCTTTATTTGGAAAATATGGTTGTTGTGGTTGTTCCTTTTCCTGTTGGAACAGTGTAGATTGACCCTGAGGTTCTGGTGCTGATCCGCTTTCAGCCACCCTTCAGTGTACACTGGTTATTGCCTGGCCACCCTTATAAAAAATTTCTGGCTACTTACCTGCCTCCTTTTTTCAATCATCAGGATCTGGCCCAGCATGGATAAAGACAGCTAGGACTGATATAAAGCACTTTGTAAAAAAGCCAAAGAAGAACAAATTATCTGGGATTCACATGGACGATAATACAATATAGCCTACTTTTTCTAGATGTTTGTTAACCTGCATAGTTTCTCATAAATAAACACATTGTCAGAAAAAAAATAGTTTTTATATATAAAAAAATTATAAAGCTAACCAATAGATTCTCCATTATTAAACTGTTATATTATTTTTTAGGTTTGTGACCCAATATTGGACCATGCAAAACACAGATTTACCTTCACAGCCTCAGAAGGGCAGGATTTATGTACAAAAAGTAAAGCTGTTCAAGAAATCATGTACTGTTTTTATGTTTTTTTGTTGTTGGAATTCATATAAATATACTGGTGTGATAACTTCGTATACATTTGACTGGTTTTTGGTATACGTCTATTTTGAATTTGTAGCGCCCCCTGGAGAAAACTCCACCAGCCACCACTGGCTGAGACGATACCGTTTACAGTTAAAAAAATTAACATCCAGCTCTCACATCTTTCTGGCCATGATATACACCTCATAGGATAATCCCCTTCACACCACCATAGGGCCCAAATAGAAATGATAAACACAGACATGTATGTATATAGAGGTGTTTTTTTTTTCTTTTACAGTTGCACATTTCAAGTTTTCAGTTTTCAAGTTCATGTTTGCTGACAGATATTTCATGGAGATAAATTGTGCCTTCATCAGTAGTGGATTAGAGATATACAGTTAATTTCAGAAGTGGGCCAATTCAATTCAGTTTGGTTCAGGTAGATATTTAATGATGCAGAAAATAAGAATCTGATTGTACAATTTTTTTATGATGCTTTTTTAAAATAAACAATTGCCCGAAATTGTTTTTGCTTAGCGCGCTTTGCAAGCTTGCCTTTTATTTGGTGCCCTATTTTGTCCCTGTATAGTATTGACACCCCTGGGTCGGACACAGGCGAGAGCCTATCGGGAGATGGAGACCAACAAGACCTCCCTCATCCTTGGCCCTATCTCATAGAATTTTTGGAAATAGTTGAATAATTGAGCTTTCAATTCATATAGTGGCATCTGGCTGTTTTTTTAAAGGTTACTTTTATACTTTAAGTAGTTTTCGGAGCACATACTTTTTCACTTTTACTTGAGTAAAGGGGTCAAGTTGATACTTCAACTTTTACCAGAGTGTTTTTAAACTGCAGTATCTATACTTCTACTGAAGTAACAAATGTGTGAACTTCTGAAACCACTGTTAAGGTGTTTGGTAAGGAGCTGATGGTTACCTAAAAATGCCATTGCAGTTTTGCCTTACTAAAAACGTATTCCAAGCCAGTGTCACTAATGGATTACTAGATTTGTCAAGTCCATGTTCAATCCAGCAACAAGGTAGTCATAGGTTGGTAGTAACCTTTCAACTCTAAACAGAGAGCTGCTTGCATCTACATTGAGTGGGAAGAGCAGGGTTTCAGAGTAAAGACAAAGCTCAACCACAGACACACCTCTTCTCCATCTCAATAATTCTGAGCAGGGAGGAGATATTCACCTAGAAGTACTCAGGAGTACTTCTGAGTCCTGAGTACTCCTGAGTGATTATGAATGAAAGAAAATTCTGCACATTTTAATTTGATAGACAGCTCAGAGTGCAGACTCTGTGTTGCCAGTCTATCCTCACTCATCTACTCCATGTACTCTGCATTGTGCCTGTGTGCGTGTTGACTTAAGAACCAGCTGACAAGACCACTGACAAGGCAGGTTTATTCTGTTAAAAACAGGAATATTTTCACAATAGCAATTTAACCAACCATGTTTCAACATGCACTCCTCACACTTAAATAAAAGCCATAACAAAATGAACCTGCCTAGCAGTTGGTCTTATATGTTTAATGCTAGATTAACAAAAGTACCTTGTATTGGTGTGATAAAACCTGACAAAGGCCATCCTAATGGGAATTAATGCTGAACAATACCCAAAAAGGTGATGTGCCAAAATTAAAAACAGCCTATCAAGCTTGAATTAATTAAATAATAATGTAAAACAAGATGTGAGTTTACCAAGCTTAACTTTTAGAAAACTTTTCAGATCTTAACAGTTAAATGGAAGACACCCTCTATACACTCACCTGTTCCCAGCGCAGCTCAGCACAAACTGAGGTGAGCAATGGGAACTTATTGGAATTCAATTCAATTTATTTCTATAGCTGCAATTCACAACAGCTCAGGTCATACAGTACAATTGATTCAAAGTTTTCTATCTAAGGAAAACCATCTGATTGCATCGACTCATTGACTCTTCAGCAATCCCTCACACTAAGCATGCTTGTAGCGACAGTGGAGAGGAAAACCTCCCTTTTAACAGGAAGAGACCTACAGCAGCACAAGGGTCAGTGTGTAGGTATAAGTTAAGGTCACTACAGATGCTATAGAAAAAGCTCCTAGGAAATAATCTCAGTTTTGGTTAGGAAAACAATTTTAATCAAATTCCTTTTTCCTCATTGATTCTAATTTGTTCATTCACCTGAGCTTAAACTTGACATAAAATAAGTATTATTCATGATGATGTTTTCATGTGAAGAACAATATTAAAAAAAACGTTTTCTTTCTTTTCTTCTTTCTTTAGCCCTGATGTTAATGTCGTGCAGCACAGCATACAAAGGTTGGTTATATATCTTGAAAGTCCTGATGAATTTACAAATGTAAATTTTTATTTTGAATATTGTTTAGAGTATAAGCATAAAGGCCAAAACTCACCATATCTGATTTTTTGTATGATTCGATAGAATATTGTGTCGGACTAGGTCTTGGCACAAATAGAAAACTGTCCCCATGACAGGAGTTCAGGAGGACAGAAAACGGATAAAGTAGTGATCCTCTTTGAGCCTAGGGTACGGACTTGTGCCCTCGCCAAGTATGTTTTTGACAAGAACACAGAAAAATGTGCAGCAAATATGGGTCAATTGGAATAGAAGCATACTCGTAACATCACCACGTGCTCGGCTCATCTGGAGCTGCATTTCAACTCCTGTTATAGAACCTAGATAATAAATTATTCATTTTTCATTTACTGAGGGAATAATAATTAGCACACTCTGAGAAACACTAATCAAAAAAATGTTTTGCCAAATCGAGCCATCAGCGCTAGCGGTACTTCACACACGGCTATGCCATAGGGGGCTTCTGCAGACGGCTATGTTAGTCCTGGAGTTCTGCTGGTTGCCGCATTCCTCTTAACATTGGAACTTTATTTTAAATTACGCACTAAATCAGCAAATGGACCATATATTGAAGCTTAAAGTTCTCACCTCAAATGATCTTTACATGTACTTTTATGGAACAATGACAACAGATAAATTAACTTTTAACCTAAAGGGGAATGTCGTTTTTTTACATTTTTTACATTCTACTCACCCATATAAGTTTTGTGTCATTTGGAGCTGTTCTGCAGATTTTCCGTTGCAATGATTTTATTTAAAGCTCTGACCCACATGCAGAAGACCAAACAGAGAGACCAGGGAAGAGACTGAAAAATGAAGGGGAAGATACTGTGGTTAGTTCAAGCTCAGCGGGAAATTTGTGACTTAGATTTGAAGAAGGGAATTTAGGCTGCGGACTCACGTTTCCAGAAAAAAAGGTGTCCCTTGATGAATCCAGTTGTTGTGGGTTGTTCCAGTGAATGACTTGCTCGTTGGAGGGCGGACAGGGTTTACCCAGATTGCGGTTTTCCCTTGAGGAACGGAGGAGCTGATTGCCACTTAATTTTCCTGTGGTTCTTGAACAGTACTTGTAGAGATGAATCCCCTGCTCAGAGAGACGCCCAAACAATCCTTGGGGAAAAAGTAGATCCAAGCCACAAGCTCGAATCCTCAGCTCAGTTTGGTGCTCAGAGAATCCTTCCAGGGGGGAGAAGGTCCAAAACATCCAGTTTGTAGGATAACTTCCTGCCGAGAGGCAAAAACAAAACAACAAGGTTAAACTCAGGTTGACAAAAACTCAGTTTGACTCAGCAAAACTCAGCTTGGCTAGAGTACCCAAAATTGGCAAACACTCTGGCCTCCAGGTAGTGGCAGTCAGCAGCTTGAGAGTCCTCCGGTAATGAGGCAACCATCCACAGGTGTGTGAGGAGGCCAACGAGAACCAGGCGCCGCCTGGTGGTGGAGGGAAGACAAACAAAAGCACAACCCACACAAACTGGATTGCTAACAATATCCAAGTAACATATTCCTATGGGCAACAAGTTGAAGGCACAAACTGAACTGTTCATAATTGATCATTTATGGTACGCCAGCATTCATAACATGTAGGTGAATCACTGTCCCCCAGACATCCGCGGTTAAATTTTTTATATTTATATTCTTTTGAAACAAAGCGAATTGTGTATGATGTCATCCACACGCGCCGGCTACCTTTTATTCATCCTGTCCACTGCTAGTTTTACTCACAAGCCTGGAAGATGTCTAGCGCTGCTACCTCAGATGATTTTGCTCTCCAAATGGAATTGAATGATTCAGATTAGCTAGAATGAATAGAAGGGGTAGAGCGTAGCCACCTCTGGCCTGTCACAACTCCAGTCCGCCGCACAGATGACGTCATACAGACTCCGCTTTGTTTAAAAATATATAAATATAAAAATTATGAGAATAAAACTAAGCAGAAGTTTTCATTCCAGCAGCTGCCCTGACTGTGAGTCCCAGCAGATCTCAATTCTTTCCTAGAGAATCTGTGTCTCTGAGCTGTGAGGAGAACAACAGCTCTGCTGGATGGACTGTATGGAGGAACACAACCACAGAAACCAGGACTCGGTGTGGAGATGGATGGGGGAAAACAGCTGGTTCTACCTGTAACATCAGCTACCTGTACCCAGATGAAAGTGGAGTTTACTGGTGTGGGTCGTCCAGAGAGGGAGCAGCCAGCAGCAGCATCCAGCTCACTGTCACTGGTAAGATCAGACTGTGGAGTTAGTGTTGATGAAGCTGTGTGGAAATGGATGAAATGCTGTAGTTTGTCTCTGTGTTGAGGTGGATCAGTGATCCTGCAGAGTCCTGTCCTCCCTGTGATGGAGGGAGATGACGTCACTCTGAGCTGTCTAACAAAGACCACTCGCTCCAACCTCCCAGCTGCTTTCTATAAAGATGGCTCCCTCATCAGGACTGAGCCCAAAGGTCACATGACCCTCCACCAGGTGAACCGCTCTGATGAAGGCTTCTACAGGTGTAACATCAGTGGTCATGGAGAGTCTCCATCCAGCTGGATCTCTGTTGAAGGTCAGCAGCTTCTCTGTTTGCTTCAAACTTTATTATGAGACAAAACTAATTCATAACCTCTGGTTTATTTCAGAGAAATCAACCACCACTTTTCCACCTGACTCTAGTCGTCCTCCACCTACATCTTTCACTTCTCCCTCCGACCAGCCTTTTCTCCCTACCATTGTAGTTCCTGTCTTGATTTTGTTTTTCGTTTTACTCTTGCTACTTCCTTTAGTTCTACTTGTAACACGACACATGTGCAGGAAATCTGATGGTAAGCGAACAATAATATGGATTTAATACATTTTTAACATGTCTAAGATTTATTCCTTCTATACTCATTCTATTTTTTTCAAAAACTGAATGAACTTAGAGATTTTTTTTTTGTTTTATTCCAGGTATAGAAGGAAATGATGTAGAAAAGAGCACTGCATACAGTGAGCTGAGAATCGTCACAAACCAGCAGCAGCCAGTCAGAGGCAGTAGAGGTATCATATCACATCTGATTAGTAAACTAAGTTAGAAATCCCTCATTCAAAGACTATGCAAAACATATGTCTTACATTCTCTACTGGATAGTTAAGAGTTTATTTAATCTATTTACCTGCTACTTAAAAATGACTATTTTACTTGTTTGTTAAAAGAACTTAGTTTATGGTATTCTCTATAAAGAATGAACGTTTTTGATGAAGTTTCCACTTTTTTTACCTCATTTTGTCATCCTGTCACCTCGAGATTGTCTTTCTTCTTTGCTTTAGTCTCAGACATCAGGATATGTTCCTTTATTAAAGCTAACTTTATATTTTCTTTTCTGCTTAGATAAAAAAAAAACTTTGCTCTACTATCGTCATGTGCAGCTAAACTCTGTAGAATATCTGATATCATTTTCTATCTATCAGTTGTCATGTTGTCTGCAGCTTTTTGTTGTTCAGTAAACAGACTAGCAGGTCTGCGGTTGCTAAGCTTCCTGTTATTCAAAGTGAAAAGACGTGCTTTGTAAAGTTAACTATAGGACTTCAAAGAACAACTAACCATTCTAAGTCCTTTAAGCTAAGTTTTAACATTCTGCTTATTTGACTTTCAAAAATCTTTCCAACAGTAGATGTTATTTTTTTCTTTTATAGATAGAATTGCATTCCCATTAAGGTCCTTTATTTTTTACTCTTGTTATCTTATCATCTAGGAGGAAGTCTTTAAGATTTCCAGTTAGATCAGATGGCTTGCTTTCAGTTTCTTTGTCAGACTAAAGCCTACTAAACTTTCCCACCAAAACCTTTCATTGTTCTGAACACTAAGCTATTCACACTATTTAATTTCATACAGTAACTATAAATAAATATTGATGACTATTTACCACACTTGAATTATTCACTGAAAAAATACATTATATTGAATTTCATTTAGGTCAGTTATAATTGTGAAGTGGAACAAAAAATCAGCATGTTACCATCTTATATTGGGATTTGTGTTCGAATTGTCCATTCTAAAGCAACGTTTGATCATGGTATTCATTTAATAGGAGCACTTATATTATAAAGGAGCTACCAAACACATTTTACATATGGTCCTGAAAACTGAGCAAGTGGCACTGACTATGGAAAAATCCATCATTCTTCTCTCCAGTGGTCTGTGGGCTTAGGCAAGGTACACCCTAGACAAGTCTGTCAGGGGGCAACACAGAGATACACCACCATACACACACTCACACCTAAAGATGTAGTGTATTCGGACCGTGGAAGGAAGCCAGAGTACCCAGAGAGAACCCATGCACGCATAGGGAGAACATGCAAACGTGTTTTTGCAGAAAGACCGTAGGCCGGAAACAAAACCCAGAACCTTCTTGATGCATGGCAACAGTTCTACCAACTGTGCCTGCTCTTATGGTGCAGTTGTGGCAGTTCAGAGATGCCTAATAGAGAACACTCATGGCCTCTTTTATATTAGCACTTGCAGGGACATATACAACAGTGATGCTAACAACAGTGAACTCTCTAGGCCAGGGGTGTCAAACTGGTTCCAGAAAGGGCCATGTGACTGCAGGTTTTCTTTCCAACCAAGGAAAGGAATAGCACACCAGTCATCTCATCAAGTAAGTCCAGTCTAAACATGATGACTTGATGAGATGACTGGAGTCTGGTGTGCTGTTTCTTGGTTGGAAAGAAAACCTTCAATCACACGACCCTTTCTGGAACCAGTTTGACACCTGTGCTCTAGTCAGATAGAAAGGTCTGCAGTTAACAATCAAAAGCTCAATGAAAGCAGAGCCTGGCAACCCATCTTGTCTTTAGTAAGAGGCTTCTACAGATCTTTTGCAAAACAGACCAATAAAGAAGATCCTTCCTTTCTGCCGCTATCAACAACTCGATAAAAAAAACAACAACCAAGTAATAACTATATGAGTTTGTGAAACATTTAATTTCACTTTGGGAGTTGTAGAATATTTTTGAATTTGAATTGAAATAAGTAAATTTTTCTAAATAGGAAACAGATTGCAGTCACAATCTTACATTTTTGTTTTTTTTAATGAACAGAGCTTAGATTTCTCCTCTTTGATAATGGCAGGCTCTTTGGGGGTTTTGCCTTCAGAGATAAAATCACCACACATCCTGCTGTCGATTGCAGTTAAGTTTCACTAGAGTAGGGTCGCCTTGTGCCACCACAGAATACATCTGCCTGGTCTAAAAAAAAAAGACTGCGCTACTCCAAACAACCATCATAGTTTCCACCTCCGTGTGGTCTGAAGATATCGCTGAACATCATGAACATAGCGTGACTATTTGTTTTAGTGGGGTTGAGCATCTCTCTGGTATTTTGTGCACATAGACTTTCACACAATCTTTTTGCCAATATCAAAACAGAGATTAAAAAAAGAAAAAGAAAATTTACATTATAAAATATGTTTTTGTTAAGTAACCACCAGGCTCAACAGCAGTTTTAACGCTTTAGCTGTTGGACTACTGAAGTCGAGCTGCACTTTCAGCCTCAATTCTTTCTCTTCCATTTCTTAAATACTATGCTACTGGACTGAGACCTGAGTCTAAATTTCCTACCACAAACATACAAATGTGAGGTAGTATGACAATAAAATTCCCTGACATCCTATATTAAGGCTATTTGAAATTATGAATTCATCATCATACTTTTGTATTCTTTTGTGTGGATTTCATTATCTGAACAATAGCCGACCTATTTGAACCCACAGTGATATAGTCTCTGTTATTGTTCCTCAGAGAGAGATTCAGCTTCAATTTACTCTGTGGTGAGGACAGAGGACATCAGCTATGGACAGATCAACATCAGACCAAAGAGGACACGAGGTACAGCTTTTTCTTCATTATATCTAAGCTTTGCTGCTTTTACATTGTAAAAGTTCTGTTAAAGGAAAGGAACTGATAAGGAAGAGGCTAAGGAAGAAGAGATGGAAGTTAAGAATTGAGAAAAATAAAAATCTTGTATCACGACCAGCTGAAGCATCTATTTATTTTCTTTCAGATGAGTATCACATTTTTAGAAATTAGAATCAGGTTTAAGTGTAGAAAAAAACAAAAGTACGATCACAGACGTTCAGTGTAATTATCATGACAGATGGAGGCTACTTATGGGCTAAAAGGGCTTCTTTTAATGAGTTAAAATTCACATTTGGTTCATAGGAATTGAATCTGTTGTTTACTCGTTAACCTTATCAACAACTGCTTACATGTAAAAATCTTGTAACATGTAGCTATTAGCTCTTTTAGTTTCACCTGGGAATACTCTCCCTGTCTTTGGTCAGACCTGATAAATCTGCTGATCTCTCTGGGAAAACTGAGACATCTTCAAAGTTCAGGAGTGTTCAGCATATAGCTAGAATAGCCTAGCAAGGAAGGAAGGTGTGTCCTGACCTCAGGGTACAAAAAGTTTGTAATACTTCTGGTTCAAGCCTGATCCTGCAGATTCGAATTGGAATTTGCCTGTTTTGCAGCTTTCTGATTCTTGAAAGTAAAACGCAGGTCTGCTTAACTTTGAACAGTCTGAAGAGTGTCTCTCCACTGTGGTACCTCTTGATCCAAGGTAACAACGGGGGTGAGAGATGTGTTGATGCATCCTTGATGTCCTTGCTGCCAACTTCAGTAATTTTGGGCTTCCACGTTGTGTCTCTGCGGACAGAATTCCTGCACCGGGCAAATAGGAAACTATTTATATATCTGCACAGAAAACATTGAGAGCGAGAAGCAGCTCCTACTACTGAGGGTTAGCAAATATAAACATCTAGAGACATCCCAGGATCATAAACATCACCAATTTAAAAAGACTGTGGAAAAAGACCTGTCTCTCTTTAAAAGCCTGAAGAGGCTTTGATAAAGTTGTAAAATGGCTGTGTTTTTCCGAGCCAGCTCCCATGTCAGATGATGAAGAGAGCACATCCAGTCAGTCACAGTCAGAGAAACAGGACTACACTGAAAAACAGGCCAAGCTCTGACATATACATACAAAGATGTTGATGGCAGCAGCACAGCTGATATTTCTCTCCAGGATGGAGTCACAGCCAAACAGGAACAGACCAGATGAAGCTACTATGAGAAAAAGCAGAGAGAGCAGAACGTTAGAGATTGAACTAACAGATTCTGCAGAGTGGGAGAATAGAGATAGAATGATGCAGAATGATGAAAAAGGGGTCCCTATGTCCTCCAGCAGTCTAAGCCTATAGCAGCAGAACTATAGAGATAGCTCAGGATAACCTGAGCTACTCTAACTATAAGCTTTCTCAAAAAGGAAAGTTTTAAGCCAACTTCTGTTGGAAAAAAAAAACATACAAAAGGCGTACTTAGAAAAGCTGAATACACTGAGTGCTGTCCCATTAATTTTCTGGCAGAAAAAAAAAAAAAAAGAAAGTTTGAGAAATGCACAAATATTAAAGTGAACATCCTGAATAGAGAACAGTTTCAAACAATGGATCGCTGATGGTATTACATTCTGCTGTACCATATTTTCTAATAAATTAGTAGATGCAAAACTTCCGTCTAGAGAAGCAGGACCTCTTTAGATCAGTTAAGAAATTATATTAAATACTGTGAATGCTGAACAGAAATACAGTAACTTGATTGAGATATTCATAGACAATAGCTCGGAAGAAAATTACTTATAGAGGTAAGAAAAGGATTATCTGTCCTTCAATCCATCCGTATTAAATCTAGTTGGGGAAAGGAAAATAAAAGCCAAAATGGAACTGACCAACGATGAATGGTTTAATATCTGTACAACAAAGTCATCCACTACTAATTAAGATTTGCGGAGGCAGTTTGCAAAAGTATGGTTTAGAAATTTAAAATTTTTCCATTTTCAGATTTTTCGAAAAATGTCCCATTATATCCACATCCTTAGCAGATTTGATGATAGAGAAAGGATCAATAATCAACCTAAACATCAACATTAACTTTAGCACTATATACTTGTGTAACTTCCCAATGGGATTGTGAGAAATTTATTACAAATGATTACAGATATTACTGGTGAGCTGTAAAAAATGCATAACCAGGAAATGACCAAATGATAAAGCTTTCAACAGCCACAGAATGGAGATAGATAGTGAAAGAAATATGTATTGCGTTAAGTCTGACCCAATCCTCAAAAGGTGGAGCCCAAAAAAGATGGAAAATCTACACAAGCCTGTTTTAATCATACCAATGTTAATTTATGTGCATATAAATTATTCCATGTTTTATTTTCCCTTTGTAAATATGAGTTTTAATCTAATATTTCAAGACAAGCTAAATTACACAAAATCGGAATCTATTTAGAAATGTGATACTTTCTGAAAACTGTTTGTTCGATTTTATATATGAATTATTAAAGGAATTGTCAGGGTTTTTTTGGAAGGTTGCAGATGATCCAAATGCAGAGACCAAAGCTGAGGTAGTTTCTTAAAATTTTAATATCAGAAGTTGGCAACAAAACCAAAAACCCAAAATAACAAAATACAGAGAACCAATACCAGACGTCAAGGGGAAAAAAGGAGAAGAAAACTATGAGGAATGAGCAACTAAAGAGGAGGAGTATATATGTCAAACAGAACAAAGAATGGATTAATCAACTGATTAGGAACAAATGTGGATAGAATAGTCTTGAGAGGGCATCAGGGTGGAAACAAGAAAATACATAATAACTCAAATACAACCAAAAACAACTAGAATAACACAAAATGGAAGAAAAAAAACCCAAAGAAAAATAAAAAGGAAAACTTAAACAGAACCAAAACATGACAGCAATAGTTTGAATAGAAATATATGTCTCACCCCCACCCCTCTTCACAATTGTAGCTCTGGGTCTCCTGACATGCAACAAAACAATTTATGTTGGAGGATCCAACAGGATACAATGAAGGAAATATAAGGGGTATGAAAACTTCTGCACTGTGCATAACTTAGAAATCAAAGCATATTTTTATAACCACTTTATATAACCACTTAATATATTCTTGTAATGAGAGAATATTCTGTATATATATATTCAGAATATTATTTATGATGTGTTTTTAATTTCAGAGCCAAAGCAAAACATCCAGCAAGAAGTTTTCTACTCCTCATTCAGATAGAGCTCTGCTCTGACTATTCAATGGACTGGGAAATCTCTGCCTCCTGTCAACCATCCCATTGATGGGAGTAGCACTGTTATCATTTAACTTCAATTATGTTTTAGTTCTTCTCATTCTTCATAATTATTTGTTTTTATCTGATCATGCATGATGTTCCCTCAGCTCTGTTTTCTGTGCTTGTTTAATAAAGTCTGATATATCCAGTGTTTATCATGTGGTTCTGTGGAATTAAACTAAACATGAGACCGAAAATATGGACCCAGTCTGACGTGGATGTGGCTATCCAGTTTGGACGAGTTAGTATTATGATGCAAGAAGAGATCAAGAACACACCACAGAGAAACATAACATCGAACTGTTTTTGGAAAGATTGATGAACCGTTTCAGGAGCTTTTTACATAACTAATGTTTTAAAACCAAGCAGGTTGGGTCATTCCCACTGTCCTCTCTGTTGCTGAGAAATAAACTCCTGGATGGATCAGAGTAATTTCTTCAGGCATTTCTGGGATTAGCAGAAAATATTTTCTGACCAGGTTTGATACGGAATAAGATAAAGCAACTGGAAGGACTGGCTCCCATTGTTATTAGATTGCGTAATGTAATGTAATACGTCAGGCGCTCAGAACTTTGGACCCACAATTCAAGCAGACTCAGAGTTTTACCAAAATAAGAATTTAATTGCTCAGCACTTTCTCGTTCAAAAGCTGAGGCAGGTTCACTGGATCCTCTGTAGAGGTGGAAACTTAGGTTAGTGACTATGAAACTCAAATGGGCCATGATAATGAGCATGTAAGTCACTAAGCTGGTTTTGAGTTCAATGTGAGCCCAGAGGAAGGAGTTGAATCCAGAAGGATTCTGTCTCAACAGCATGCAGCAGGAGCCGCCCCCAGAGTTCCAGTGAGTGCCAACAGAAGCAAAGGAGTAGAAGTATCAGTGGGGAGGATCCGAAAACCAGAGTCATAGCAGGAGCAGGTTTTCAGGCCAGAAGATCAGAGAGCCAAAGAGGTAACAGGATTTATGCCGAGGTCAGGAGACAGGTCCCAGGTCGTTTAGCAGGCAGAATCCAGGTATCAGTCTAAAACAGATCAGGCAAACAAAGCTGAACAGGGGTGTTAGGTTCAGAAAATGTAGGTTTGTGAAAAAAGAGAAATTGAGTCTACACAGGAAAGAGATTCAAGCAACTTCTGCAGGAGCTGAATGAAAAAGCCCAACCCAACTTCAAGCTTTCTTTCTTCGAATCCTCTCCTGCAGCTGTCTTTGATTAACAGAACATAACATATGGTTACAAAACAGTATTTGTTCTGACAGAACAATTGATCAGTTCATAAAGACAGGATGCTCCATCAGAATGACAAGGCAGGGTGGTCTCCTGACTGAATCACAAGACACAGTGGAGCATCCCCTTGCACAAATGTTTCATAAGCACACACAAATTTTATAATCATCATTGAATAAACCTAACATTTTCCTCCTGTTGTGCATATAAACATTAGCATGTAGCACTTCTAAAAAGATTTTTACTACACACATCATAAATGCATTGCAGATAGGGAATTCAGTAATCAAAGATTAATATGCAAAAAACAAAAATAGGAAAAGGATTAAAATGTAAAACTTAAGCAAAAATGTATGATCCTACACGATCCTTCCCGAGGAGGCGATCATTATCCCTGTAACAGATTACACAGTTGCCACCATATCATCAGTATCGGCACCAGCATCTTGGCGGAGTTGAACATAAGTTACAGCTGAATACTGGATTAGAGTGGATCCTATCATTCTCTGAAAGTTTAGGACCCGACCCCCATATTCTAAAGTTCATGGGGACTCCTGTGTCTGTGGTCACACCCCGGTATGATGCTGGGAAATTGATACCTTTGTCTTCTTCAGCTTTCCTTTTTTGTAGGTGGGAATAATGGGGGTGCTGCTCAACTTTTTCCTTAACCATGGTGTGATCTGACACTAGCACCAGAGTACAACGTCCCCCCATCCAGCAGGCAAAGCTGGGTAAGCCTTATGGCCACAGACATAGTACCAGTCTGTCAAGGTGTGGGTTCCCAGCGATGAAGGCATTCCTGAAGAGCATCTGGCGTTTGCTGTGGCATAGGAATGATTTTTTTGAACATTGACTAGCACTGTCTGAGAGAGTGGTACGACATGTTCTATTTTTTTCTGTAGGCTGAACATGCAGTTTCAATTAAATATGGGCAAAAAGAATAAATAGCATTACATCTTCCTTTTGGAATTTTGCCAACTGAGACGCTGCCATTACCTTCTATACACACAGGGAATTTTTCACTTACTATCATGACGTGTGTGGAAATTGGGATTGACACCTGTGGTAACACTGTGGCGTCCTTAGCTGCAGTACATGGTAGGTCTATTAAAGGACTAATTAAGATATTTAATGGCTTTGAGAAATTTGCTTTGGAATGTGTAACATTGATTCCTGGATGAGTTGAAAGAACCACAAGGCAGTCAGTTTGATCTGCGGACATATTGTATGCATAGACAGTCTGTATGGTGGAAGTAGGCATATGAGTTACAAACATAATAGTCTGTTTTATTCAAACCTTCAGCAACACGTTTGGCATGCTGCCACCACATATTGGTGCCATAGGGATGAGTTGCTGTGGATCCATCAAAAACCATTCTGGTTTTCCTTTGTTTCAGGCAGTCAGTTTGAGTCCCTAAGAGCACCAGTCCAATGGCCACCATCAAGCAGCAGAGCCACTTTAGTTTTCCCATCTTCACCAGTCCCTCCAAGGAAGCACCCACTAACCAGGACTCTAAAGGATTGGGTTAGGTTGGTTTCTTCACCAGTGTTGAGACAAAAAGCTCTAAATTGCTTAACCCCTTTGTAGCTGGGCTTCACCAGAGATCCCTACCTTAGTCGTGGGATCCCTGTTAAGGTAACTGGGCTTTCTATTGGGGAAAGTCTTTAATCAGCGTACAATGACTCTGGTGGATCCAAGTGATCTCTCCTGGATCTTCACAGCGGTTGGAGTTGCTAGTTGCACAATGTAGGGTCCTTCACACCTTGGAGCTGCCCAATTTTCCCCTTGATGATTTTAATCAGCACTCGGTCTCCAGGCTTCAGGCCTTCCTGTGGGGAAACAAAAGGAGCTCTGGGCAGATTACATGTTCTTCAAAACATGTGAGACATGCTCTGCAAAAATGTTTAAAGTAGTTATTTAATCCTGCAGTTGGATTAAATACTTGTTGTACTATAGTCATTATCCCTCCCGTTGAGACATAATAAACTCATGACTCAAAATAGCTGCTGCTTTCAATCAGAATCAGAATCAGAAATACTTTAATTATCCCAGAGGGAAATTACTTTTGTTAAAATTACTCAAGTTACAGTTTTATATATATATATATATATATATATATATATATATATATATATATATATATATATATATATATATATATATATATATATATATATATATATATATATATATATATACACACACATCCAACTACACAATATAATAAAGATAAAAAAAATAAGAATATGGGGAGCTACTGATTCCACGGGTCTCCTTTAACCCTTAAGAGTAGGACACTACAGGTATGAGCCTATCACCATGAGACTGTAACAACACAGAGGTCATATAACTTGCTTAACCATCAACTATTTTGATGCACGGTTTTTGATGATTTTGCAGAGCTAAGACAGTTGCTGAGAAAAGTTTTACTTTTAGCTTTGTGAATTGCTGTTCTGCTTCTCTGATATATCTACTAGTGTGTCATAAAAACAACTTAAGAAAAGCTAAGTTTTTCTTGATAATGTAGAATCTAAGCCGAGCAGTAATTGCACAATTCTAAAAAGATATTCTTGTAGCTTTTTATCTTCTTCTGAAATAACATGGCCCAAACAACAGATGTGTTTCTGCACCCGTTAAAATTTTTTTAACTACTTTTATACTTTCCTTTGCTTCACATTTTAGCAGATATTGTTTTATCCTTGGCCTGTATTCTGATTTAGGAACTATTTTAACTGAATCTATAGTTGTCAACAGTCCGACGTCAATTCTTCCTGTAGAACACAAAGCATTTGGAATATCTTTGAAATAATTTACATCAGATTGTGATAGCAAAGAATGCTGAGTTATTTTAACACATGCTAAATCTGGGGTTTTACATTAAACAGAATTTTATAAGGCTGTTTCCATAGTTGGAAAAATAGACATGGAGAAGAAATGCTAAGCATGTTGCATAAAACACAGAAGGATTAAGTTGCAACACCATTACATGTATTATTCATGCAGCCTTTATTCCCCCCAGCGTGGGGGGAATTGAGATTGATGGAGTGAGTTGGTGATATTACTACAAAAACATGCAACCTTGCAACCTTTTTCCTGTTTGAAGGTCTGCTATTTCTAATGCCCTTGACATCCATTCCTAGGATGTTTGATTATTTGCTGATTTTACAAAAATTAGAATTTTAGATGGTTTTAGCATTTACATTATCTTTAACACAAGTATTACAGGCTCCTGAATCGCATATAAGTCTAACTGCCTGTCCATTAATTTCTAGAACTAGTCATGTTTTTTTCTTTTAATGCATTTAATATCCCCCATGCTCCATACACATCTATTATTTTAATGGCTATTCTTATTTGCTCTAGCACTTAGTCCATCTCAAATGAAGAACTGCCCTGTGGACATTCCTTCGTAGTCTGCTTTTACTGGTCTGGACTGAAAGCCCCCTGCATCCTTGATTCCTTTTCACTAACATCCCTTTGTCTGGAGGCACCAGCACAAATTGCAATTTCCTTAACAAATCTCTGCCTAATAAATTAACTGGACGGTCTGGGCTTAACACAAAATCAGCTTCCACCATGAATACCTCTTCATCAGTGACCAATTGTTTTCCCTGTGACCACCAGCCCCTCACTTGAGCCCAATTATGGCCCAAACTACACTTCCTAGCTTTTCCTATGTTTTAGCTTGCACAATCCACTTATTCAACCCCTCTAATTTTTTTATTCCCTGTATGTAGCTTGCATGACTAAAATAATTTTGTGGCAGGTTATTTATTTTAAATTTTTTGGTTCCGAACCTAATAGTTTTGGAGACTCTGCAGGTGCATTAGGAAGGCTGTCAGTTGGATCAATGCTGCAGTCATCGATCCACCGACAGACCCCCCCCACTGCAGCAGATTCAAACTGTCTCCCTCTAAA